AGCGACATATGAACAGAGAGCTGGCGAAATAAATACAATGCAATAGCAAATGGCTGGCTTGTGGCTCACTCGAGGGTTCAAGCAACGCCGTTAGCTGAGAGCCTGACGTCGCTTACGGTTCGCTGCCATAAAACGTTATTAGACACATGAGCATGAAAATGGTGATGCGTAAATACATATGTACACATTCACACACACACACACACACGCACACACACTCATTGGTATGGTCTAAGTTTATTTCGCAGGCAAAGTTATAGTTAGAGCGCCCCCAAGTAGGCAACACTTTGCTTCTGCCAATGCCAGTCCTAGTGCTACTGCTACTGACAGACAGCTGGCCAAATGTTTTGACAGTTCACAGACCGCTTTAATTGCTCATAATGATGGGCGATTGGTAAGCCAATACACAATTTGCTTTATCGCCAAACAGCAAACTAGTATAGTTGTTCTTTATGGGGCAGTAGCGCGGTGGCTAGGGTGGCCATAAGATGAGGAATAAAAGGTATACTTGTATTGTTGTGGCTTCTGGACATTGAACTTTCATCCGTGCCACACCAAATAGCCCCCTAAATCAACACAGAGACAACAATTTGTCGGAATCGTAGGTTTGGCTAAGCAAGTTCCTACTTTCCTCCCCTCCCTCATAGACTTGACTGAATACAAGTATATGTATGTAGTACAATAAGCAAGTCTTGGGGAAAAGTATGTCTTGAATTGCAGTGTAAATCAGTCTGAAATTTAACACTCGAGGTCTAAATTGACAGGAATTAAAAAGTGTTCAATTTAAAGGATAGCTCGCGAAGCTATTTGTTTATCAGAAAACTACTAACAGCGATAAATGAAATGAAATTTGTTATAACGGCAGACCCGTTTTATATCTACGTCCCATGACCTTACATGCTTACCAACTGAATTGAAATAGTATCTTAGTATCTTAATATAAACAAATGCACTTTGGCTCAAATCATGAAAAATTAATGATGGCTGGGTGGCTGCACCGCTGAAGGGCTGAAGGATTGGATGTTGAGCTACGATGAAGTGAACCGTGGCAGCGACTGCGCGCTCAAATTTACATACATACGTATATATGTACTATATACTTGTATGTATATACGAACTATATACATGCACAAACATACTGTAATGGCTAACAATTTAGCAACATACTTGTATAGTAAGTAATACGCCTCCAAATGAAAATCATATTTGACGATATATTAACATTGTGTAGAAAGGCTCTTTATTTGCTAACCGAAAATAATTTACTAATATCTGTTTGAAGAATTAAATATGTTCTAAGATCGAAAATTAAAATATCGATAGTTGCTCAATTTGGTGTTATTTTAGGATATATACATACTATATATCTGTTGCCAATTTAAAGAGCTGTTCGTAAGAGCTGAGTTTTTAAATTTAATTTAGTTTAGTGAACACTTCGAAGAATTTAGATTTTGAACAAACGAACAAATAATGATTACTATTTTGCTTTTTTTTTTTAAACGGAAAAATCATTCACTTTAAGTAACTTTGAGAAAGCGAGCAATTTACTGATATCATTTTTTAAGGATTATCACCATAATTTATAAACTTTAATTTTTATTCATTCGCTCACAATTTAATGATTAATTTTGCGTTTACTTTAAACATTTTTTTGATCAAAAAAATAAAACTCAAAGAATAATCATTATTTTATAAGTTTTATTTTTTTGCTCATCAATAATAATTAATGGTTAATTTTTAAAGTAAAACTCAAAATTAGTCATTAAATTGTGAGTGAATTAATAGAATTAAGAAATAATAATTATTTTGTAATTTATTTAGTAACATTTATATTGATGACAATCCCTGATTTCAAGTGTTATATATAGCTATATAGAAAGGTACATATAAGTGCGCTTCCTTCTGCTGGTTGCATAAATAGGAAGCAGCGGGAACAAGGTTGATCAATTCATTTATTTTCTGAAAACTTGAGCTGCTCGCCAAATTGAATAAAATAAAAATAAAAAATAAAACTCAAAGAATAATCATTATTTTATAAGTTTTATTTTGTTGCTCATCAATAATAATTAATGGTTAATTTTTAAAGTAAAACTCAAAATTAATCATTAAATTGTGAGCGAATTAATAGAATTAAGAAATAATAATTATTTTGTAATTTATTTAGTAACATTTATAATGATGACAGTTCCTGATTTATTTTATTATTTTTTATAAGTTTTATTTTATTTATTATTTATAAGTTTTATTATTATTTTATAAGTTTTATTTTGTTGCTCATCAATAATAATTAATGGTTAATTTTTAAAGTAAAACTCAAAATTAATCATTAAATTGTGAGCGAATTAATAGAATTAAGAAATAATAATTATTTTGTAATTTATTTAGTAACATTTATAATGATGACAGTTCCTGATTTCAAGTGTTATATATAGCTATATAGAAAGGTACATATAAGTGCGCTTCCTTCTGCTGGTTGCACAAATAGGAAGCAGCGGGAACAAGGTTGATCAATTCATTTATTTTCTGAAAATTTAAACTGCTCGCCGAATTAAATTCGATCGATTACCAAGCATATTGATGGACGATTTCATGCGTAATTGAAATGTATCAGCATTCCCAAAGAGTGTTAAATTGTTGACTGCCACTGTATGGACACAAGTATACACAAATCATACATACAACTACATACATACATATGTATTTATGTATGTATGTACGAGTAAGCATAGCACGTGTGTGAAATGCATTTTGGTAAATAGGGAAACTGCAGGCGTGTCGCTTGTATTGCGTGCTGCTAACAATTTTAATTAATTTTTGAACAAACACGCGCCATTGCAGTAACACGAGCAGCAGTGGCAGGACGAACAGGACGAACAGGACGATCCATAGCGACAACAGCCACTCAATTTGAGGTTATGTGCATGGTCACATTAGAGAGTAAACAACAACGGCAACAACAACATCAACTAAAATCACACACACATGCAAGTTAATTACATTTAATTAAATGCACACAATACAAGGAATGCCACTGCCGCCGTGGCCCATGCGAAGGAGCAGCATCGTGCGCAACAGTCCTTGCCAATGCATCATCAACATCATCATCATCATCATCATTCATGACGCGTTTGGCAGCCAATAAGCGAATAAACGAGTGTTCGGAGGCCTGCACATGAACAAGGGGCGTATAATTGCAGAGTCAACAACTCCAACCAATTAACGAGGCTATTAATTTAAAGCGAAAGCGACCAAAAGTAAGGCCTATTTATAGCAAATATCGGCGATATTCATTCGATGTGTGTGCAACTATTTCTGGCAAAACAGACCAATTTATATTCTCGAACACTCCTCTCTCCCTGTGCCCTCTAGATAAAATATTCATTATTGCACCAAGCAATTATCTATTAGCTATAGTCCACTAACTTTTATAAGGCGCAGAGAGTGTAGTGAGGTGACGGTACTGTGAACCTTCCCCTCTATCCACCAAAGTCATTCCCTAAAATAGGCTTTGTTCTTCCAACCATTACAAGATACAAGTTGGGTATTTCCCTTTTCTTTCTCTTCAGGCTTAATTAGCTGTTAAGTAGAATTATTTTTCCTTATCTACTTACTATTTTTTTTAGCCTGTTAGGTCTATAATGTCTCTGACCAAATACATATGGCTGTGATTCGGGACATAGCTGGCCAAATGGCTAAGAATATTCTCACAACGGATCGGAGGCATTAATAGACGTTTTTGTATAGTTTTTTCTTAGGCTTTCTTATCTTCTAAGTTGAAATTATAGCGTTGTATTATTAAATATCTTTATTTTATTTTATAATATTATATTATAATAAAAATCATAGCTTTTGTATAGGATTGACAGCACTATTTGTTGATTTACTAAATAAAATAAAAATAAAAAAAAACTCATACTCTTAAATGGCAATTTCGGATACAGTATCGTAATAAATAAAAAGGAGTGGTTTTTGTAAGGATCGGTTCAATGACAGCTTTATTGCTCACTATTGTTCAAACGGGCATTTCTTTAACATGGGTTCTGCATCGAAAATAATTACAAAACCAACTACCATAAAAGTATATCCGATTTCATTAAGCGCTTTGATAGAAACAGTACTTTATCTTTCATCCATATCTGTAAATGCGAAGAAACATAATATATATTAAGTCCAGTAATATTCAACTTAACTTTTCAACTTTAACATTACAAATATAACTCAAGCTTGCAATACTATATATTTTGTTAGAAGACTTACATATTGGCAATGAATTACAATTTATGTTATTTATAGGTACTATATAAAACAGAGCGTTAAATCTAAAGCTTTGTACGAGTATATACCCTTCAACGTTCTTAATTTGCTAATATTTTTGCACAGATTTTCAAAGAGTTGTTTTTAAATCGCTGTATCGTTTCTATGACAGATTTAATACAGTTCGAACTATACCTTTCCATCGGAGAGAATTTAAGGAACAAGGAATGAAGAGTAGAGGAATTTATCGAGAAGAATAACCTTCTCAGGGTCCACCTATAAAGTATGGCAGATCTAGCTCCATGCCGTTTTCAAATTCAACTTAAACAAATCAATTTGAAAAATTTGGAAACTAGTTTATTGCAAAATGTCCGGTATCTCTATTGAAAAGACTATATAGTCTATATAGGCTAATTAAAACAAATATCGAGACTTGCTTTGCTTGGCTGGCCTTTGTCCATCATTTAATTTAAATTGAGACCGAGGTGTGAGTAGGGGTGTAGGCTGTGGCAGGTGGTTCGTGGCTGGTGGTTGGTGCGACCCACCTCGGTGACCAACGAACCCACCCCCTGGGCGTCGATTAAGGGTGTAGGTAGCGACAACTGTTTTCCGGTGGCGTTGCCAGCATTGCCAGCTCGTTGCTTGGTAACCACGCGACTCGGCAATGGCCAAACAAAGCGCCAAGAGAAACCACAACAAATCAAATCGGAGACGTAGAATAATGTGCCTGGAACACTGGCAAACAATGAAGTTGCCTGGACAGTTGATTAGCAAATGAGTTCTTAGCTGTTGATGTTGGTGAGAAGTCAACGTCTGAGGCCAGAATGTCTTTCAAGGATGTGAGGGGTAAGTGTTTGACTTTATAATCTCTCAGTATATCTTATTCATCTTTACCACTATATCAAATTCTCGATTCACTTAGATCTCGCAGAGCACTTGAAGCTGTTGGGCTTTCCCCGAGTTTTCCCGCTACAGTCACTGGCTACGCAGTACGGCACCCTGGCTTCCTTTCACATAGTAGCCGAGGTGCTGCAGTGGCTGGCCGGACTATTGGAGCCGGGGGCGCAGCTGCCCGGTGGTGTGGGTAGTGAGGAGGAGCGCGTGCTGCTCATTCGCTCGGCCACAGAGTTTTTTGTGACCAAGTCGGCCATACGATTGAATCCCCGCAAGCTGTATGCCGCTGCAGCCGTGACTGCCCCGGAGTTGCAGAAGATTACGCGTCTCCTGATCGCACCCACGCAGACAGAGGCGGAGCGGGATGAGGAGGAACAGCTGCTGCAGCAGCAGTACCGCAGTCTCAACCAAGTGGACATTGGGGACAAGATGGAGGATCTGCGACGGGCGCGCGAACTCTCCTCCGACTTGACGCAGCGCGGGGCTGCCCTCTACGATCTGCTCTCTAAGGAACTGCTTAACAAGGAGGCGCGTCTGGCGCAAGCTAACCGACCCATGGAACTGGTAGGGGTGGAGCGCACGCTCAAGCAGGCTATTGCAGCGGCGCAGCTAAAACTGCAGGCGGGACGGGCCCAACTAGAGGGGGCGCGGGTCGAGCTGAATGCGCTTAACTCGAAGCTGCAGCGCAAGCGGGCGGAGCTGGAGCGGACCAAGCAGCGACTGGAAGCCCTGCAGAAAATACGGCCGGCCCACATGCAGGAGTTCGAGGACTGTGAGAAGGAGCTGCAGGAGCTGTTCCAACGCTACTTTCTGCGCATCCATGTGCGTGACGCACTGCGCGCTCAACTTGAAGCGCGCACTAAGCGTGCCACGCCCATCTCTTCGCCACTGCTGCAGCCGAAGCCCGCCGAGAACTCCATGCCCTTCATACCGGAGGGCCTAATCGAAGACGACGACGATGACGACGAGGATGGTGACGATGAAGGCATGGGTCTGGCACGTCACGGTAGTTTCGGTCTGGACTCGGAAATTCCCGACATACGCGACGAGGATCTGATGCTACAGAATGCCATGAATTCGACTGCAGCTCCAGGCAAGCGTCCGGGCACGGCCACTTCACGCATGCGACCCACCACCGGTCGCAGCCGCAAGGGCACGGCTGGTGGCAACACCTCAGCTGCTGCGCCACCCACACGCAACGGCCGTGAGGGACCTGGCAGCAGTATGTTGAGCACCCGTGCATCTGTCGGTGGAGCTGCAGGGGGCGGACGTGGGGCCGATGACGACGACAGCAGCTTTGGCAGCTCGGAGAGCGATCTCGATGTGGGCGACCTGATTGGTATGAGCGGACTTGGTGGAAATTTGGCCGCCGGCGACGATGACTGTGGGTGACTTTTGATCTCATAACCCTACATACTAACTATTTCGTTTCTTCTTCTTCTGCTTTCTTTATCTTGTCCAGTTGATCTGAACTCCATCGACGACATCAGCATCCTGAAGCTGACGGGCGAGCTGCCGCTGCGTCCAAAAACGGCCAGCAAGCCGGAGCACCACAGTGACGAGGACTTCTAGCACTTCTGCGGATTGCTGAACTCTATTTTGTACATTTATACATGCATATACATTCAAGAGTAATATATACTATACTATATATTATATAGTAAATAAAACTGTATTCTGTAGACAACTAACGATGTTTTGCTGTCGGCCAGCAAGCAATTTATATTCAGCATACAACTCTATCATTATTCATTCCCCATGACCGACAGTCATGGTCAGTAATTGCCAGGCAAACGTAGGCCAACTTGTTTCTCAATCTATAGAGCTATTAAGGCAACCTAAAGGAAATGATTGGCTCATAACCGGATACCTAACCGGGCATTGAAACGGGACTAAAGAGACTATTCAATTATTAGGTAAATGATTTATTTCCGTATACTTTGCTAGGTCTGCTCCACTTCCGAGGAGTGCCAGCTTCTCTAGCTTGGACTTCAGTCCACTGTGATAACTTTATTCGTTTTATATGCTTATGGATATATTATTATCATCATTATTATTATATATGTATGTATGTATGTACGCAAAAAAGAAATATACATGCAAAAAAATTAACAGATTTGCGATGACCGCCCGATTCGTCTAATCCGTCGGGTCTGGCGCGTTTTGGAGAAACTATTTACAAAGGCTGCAACGTGTGCGACTCCATGAACTCAACTCACATCACCACATCCCGGCATACGATTTTTGTCTTGGACGAAGCCCGCGAGGCAGACGCCGATGCTAGCGCCGGCTGATGGCCGAACGCTTCACTTGTCGCCGAGGACGTAGACGAGGAGTAATCAATATGACTGCCCGCCTGAGACTGCTCTTGACGGGCCAGGAAACTGTCGGCTATGGCGCGATCCAAGCCGGTATATTGAAAATTGGGGGTGCCGTCTAGCATATCGGCTTCGGATTTACGGCGCTGTCGACGATTGGCGTCCGACTTGCCGGCTCGACGACGTCGTCGCTGGCCATTTAACTCCGCTGACTTGGTGCTCTTGTGGGTCCGATACGTGCCGCTTAGACTGGCGGGATGGGCATAAAGCACAGAACCAGGCCTTACGTAGGGCAGAGTCATGCCTCTGTACTGGGGCGGCGCAGGTACGGGCAGCAGCATTCCACCTGGCGGGGGCGGCGGTGGCAGACGTGTCGGTGGTGGTGGTGGCAGTAGCTGCAATAATGAAAAATCAGCGAATCAGTGGTCGGCAACAATTATTGGTCATCTTCAACTTACCTCACTACCGGCAGCCGAGGCTGGAATGAGCATAATGGGACGTGAAGGGGGCGTTAACTTGCGAACAGAGGGTGGGGGCAGACTGCCCATGTGCGTGGCATACATCCACATAGCAGCGAGTTTTTCCGTGTTTTCCTGCAACAAAACAACATTTCATGGTTGAGCTGTGCTATTTGATCTTTAATAATTTAGGGGGTAGGGAAGGTGTTTGTTATGTGTTTATTGTTTGTATACTTTTTCACTGCCACTGAGCGACATGGCCTTGATATACTGCTCCACCTTTTGCTGATCGAGAGCAATGCCAGAGGCGTTCGATTTGATGATAACATCGCGCAATTCACTGTGCTGAGATCTGCAAGGAAACGGGATGTTGACGTTATTACATTTTCTTACAATATACGTATACAAATTACGTTACATAAATATTTAAAATAAATCGACATAAAATTACATAAATACAGGCTTGAAATTCTGCCGTTCCGAATTTGCAAAAGCCATTAAATTTTTGCATTTGCGGGAGTGAATCAAAATGATAATTTTAAGTGCTCACATAGTACATATGTATACATATATTTTATTGTACTTCATTCTGAAATAATTGTTCTTATAAAAAATTTTAGCTTTTTGTTTGCATGAAGAATGAAAGAAAATCAGATCGAATCCAATTCAAACTTTCTTATTTTTGAAAAGTCATCGTAAATGCGTTAGCTTCCAATTAGTGCGCTAAATATTTATGTTTAGTTTCAAAACTGGCCACTAGTTACGGTTTTCTCAATCTCTTCTAAAGCGCCACCTAGCCTTTACACGCCATTTTACCAAACATCGTGTACTGCATATCGATTGCTGGATTAGCGCCTATCGGTAGCAACATTTCTTTCCATCTTCTTCTTCCCCTTTGTTTTTCCTACCAACTGTTCAGCGGAGGAATAATAGTAGAAGCGAAAAGTGCAATCATACGCTAAGCAGCAATAGCTACTGCTTAAGCTATTGTATATTAATTAAAAACAAGTGTGTTTTCTGCAAAGCAACGCCGGTTAGCGTTGATAAGCGTCAAATTATCAGCTAATGTATCGATTTTTACAGAGCGCCGTAACTATCACCATCATCAGCGTACGAAGCAAAAACAAACGGCGAGACAACAACGACATGTAGTTGTGTTTTTTCTGTTCTTGCTGCATCAGCTGTATGACGAGAAGGCGACGACAACGTATTTATTTCTAGAAATGAACAAGCGCAAATAGAGCAAAGCCAGCCAATAGTTTAGAAATAGCTGCCGCGGAACAAATCAACACACTAACCAAGATCAACACACTGCTAATCGCCCATTCCAGCTGTTGTAGTGTATTGTATGGCGTAGCAGGCGAATCGCAACAACAAAGACGAAAGTTGCAAAAGTGCGTGCGCCACGTCAGTATAGGCGAACGATCGTAAGAGGGGAGAGGGGGAACGCTCGCACGTAAGCAAACAACGGGTGCATCGCCCACACAACAACACATTAACATTAAAAACAACTTCAAGCGTCGGTATGTTTAACAACTTTAAGAACCGATTCATATCGGCAATTGCGCCAGACTTGCCGCCTTTGCCAAGCAGCGAACGCGAGCATCAGCGAGGCAATCTTCGCCTGGGTAACCAGCAAATGCAAGACAAGTTCCCATACGCACGCCCGCCGTTCCTCCAGCTGCTAACCGTCGACGAGCTGCGCGCGTCGGCCGACCACAATGTGCGGCCCATCATCGTGCCGCGCGACATAAATTTACTGCCGTGGGGCACGGGCTATGCAGAATGCGTCAATTCTGGCAAGTCCGAGTGGAATGAGGACCAGGGCGCCTTCTGTCGGTAAGTGCTGTCGGCAAGCGGGTCTGCTTATCGCACTGACTAGTCCGTAATGCGATAAGCTGACTACGTACAATTTATGATTTAGCTCAGCTACAAGCAAATATTGGTCACTCCTACATATGTATATATTTGTTATATTATTATTATATATAGGGAGTATTGTTCACTCCCTCACACCATAAGTTTATCGTACTGAAAACCTTCTAATAATACCAAGAAGGCTTACATCAATAGCGTAGCTTCAAATATGTTTCATGCATCGAATACTTTTATATTTTTGCAGACAGGTGCTCTCGGATCCGGAACACAAGCATCCGGACCTGCCGTACACATATTTCGGCATCTTTGATGGCCATGCTGGATACGGTGCGGCCCTTGCCGCCTCACACCAGTTCCATCACATACTGCACGAGAAGCTGGTGGACTGCATTGAGCTTTTATTGCCTCGCGACTCGGACAATGAGAATGCGAAGGTGAATCCGAGCTTTCCGCATCCAATTTACTTTCAGCGGCGTGTCAGCAAGGATGAACTGATAATTGGCTCGTTGGAGGCAGCCTTTTTTCACATGGACTCGTTAATAGCGCAGGATCGGGATCGATATCGTGATGCAGGTGGCTGCACCGCCTGCGTCTCGCTCTTTATCGATGGAAAAATGTATGTGGCCAATGCGGGCGACAGTCGGGCCGTACTCTGCCAGCGACGCGTGCCGCCGCCCAAACCAGTACAGACGGGGCTAGAGGCTGTGATTGAAACCGATCCGTTGGAGGCGTGCACATACCCAACGCCGTTCTCGGCCGATCACACCCCAGAAACAGAGCGGGAACGTTTGCTGAATGTGGCGCGCCTTAAGCCGCATCTGATGGGCAAGCAATACGTGGCAATGGAGTATGCCAAACGGCCGCACATCAAAGACATGGGCCAACGAATCCTGTGCCGGCCGGGCACAATGAAGGGCTGGACATATAAGACGCTGACGCGCGAAGATCTCCGCATGCCGGTGGTCAATGGTGAAGGCAAGCGCAGCCGGCTGCTGGGCACGCTGGGCGTGACGCGCGGCTTCGGCGACCACGATCTACTGGCCATTAACACTGGCATACAGATTAAACCATTCCTTACGCCACATCCCGATGTAAAGCAGCGCAATCTTACACAAGTGGTTAGCATTCCAGGTGAGTGGAGCCATCAATTTGTCAATAACATTACTGAAAAGCTCAACATTTCTCGACTTGTCCGCAGATGAACACAACGAGGATGGCGACTATGGCGTACTGGTCATGGCTACTGACGGCCTGTGGGACGTGTCTGAAAATGAGGCGGTGGCGCGCACTGTGTTTCAAACTCTTTCCAAATACCCTAAAGAGAAACATCGGTACACAATGGTCGCACAGGAGTTAGTGGCACGTGCCCGTGGTAAAATCAATGACTCGGGCCACTGGCGACTAGCCGACAGCAAGGCGGCAGCCACCGTGGACGACATCTCGGTGATTGTGATACCAGTCTATCAGTATTACAAGGAGCACATAGAATGGACGCAGAACTATGCACGCATACTGAATGAGAGGCGGCGAAAAGCCGCCGAGGCCAACGAGGTGCAAGAGGCGGTCAATGTGCTCAACGGCATTGTCGCCGAGGAGGCGCATGTGGTGGAAGAAGAAGAGGCTCAGGCGACAACTTCACAAGCGGACGTAGAATCCCAAGTGGTGCTGACCAATGTACTTTCCGAAATTGAGGATGAAGATGAAGATACGCTCGTGGTGGAATTAAATCCACATGCGGACATCGAGAACGCCCTGCCGCCGGTGGAGGCTCGCCTCGAGACGGTCAGGGAGACCCTAAAGCATGTCGAGCTCGACGCTAGCAATGCATCAGGTAAGTGCGAAACTTTTTTAAACGTGAGTCATTCATTCAAACGAATTCCTCATTTTTTTCCCACCTCTCTCTCTCTCTCTTTCTCTCTCATGTGTATAGAAACGCCCACAAGCTCACCCATCAAATCAAAGCCACAGCAACAACAACAGCAGCAACAAAGAAGTCGCAAAAGCAAAGGCAACAAACATTAAGAAAACGAACAGTTAAGGAGTCGGAGTCGGTGTGCCCTCAATGCATACGCCACTATATACTATATATACATACATATACATATATATGTATATATATACATATACATATATATGTATATATATACATACATATGTTTAGAAACATGGCTATATTTTTTTAAACACATACCCACACACAAAAACAACTATAAAGTAACTATTTCCATACATACATACATATGCATATGTATTTATTTCTTGTTTATATTAGGGATATGTTAAAAATAATATCGATATTCACAACATTTCTCAAAAATTCTCATCGATTCATAGTCGATTGGGATTTTTGAATGTAGCCGAGAACAGCGAATTGATTTCAAAACTCAGCCAATAACGCTTTTGTTGATTTTTGTTTTTTAGATTTATATTTTGGGTATCAAACGATATCAGAAGTGTCCCTCCAGTTATTGTAAAACAAACATTCATTTCGTTCGCCCGAACGGGCTAAGAACTGCTAATTTGTATTGTTTTGTATCTGTCTGAATGTACATATGTATGTATTATATAATTCATGTTTTCCCATGAATGTTCCGATTCCCAACTAGCTTATAATTGAATTGGGGGCAACGGTCGAGCAAAACAAACAAACAAAATGCGAGCATAATAAACATAATTCAATAACTTAAATCAATAATACTTTTACGTATGTAATTCCATTGAATAAACACAAATAAATTAGTGCTTTAAGAAATGTGAAAACAAACACACAATCACAATTGTCTCAAATTCACTTCCCAAAACTACCTTAGAGATTTATAAAATAGTATTAAATAGTATTATATGAGAAGTGTGTTCAATTCTGGCAAAAATCGAAATCAAACTCTTTGCAGCATCGGATGTGTATGAATTGTTTGTAGCAGGACACTTGCAAAAAATAAAGTGTGTTCAGACTGACAAATAATTTTCACATTTGTTGAATTTCTCAAGAATGTCATGAATATAATGTTAACACGAAATCTATACTGAAATATCGTTTACCTTACTTTGTGTGCAAATCATTTGACCGTTCCTTAGTTGAATCATAACTAGATCGGCATGGTGTCATTATAAAAATAATCAATAAAACGAAGTGAGGGGAATTGCCAAAATTCACAGCATTTGTTGTGCTATTCAGCAGAAATTTCTTCTTTGGACTCTTACTTATCCATAAGTTTACCAAATTTAAACCTAGTCAGTATTTAATTACTGTTCGATGGTTTATAAGAAAAGAATCTAACTGCAAATGAATGTAGTATTAGAGTTTTTGGTGCTTGAGAAAATCAATTTTCCAAGTAAAACTGAATGTGTTAAAAGAATCACATTAATCCAAAAAAGTAACACGAATGGAAAACAAGTTACAATCCCAGAATTTCTAGGGTTTCATTTTAATTGTTTGAGTATACAATTTAAAATTAGTCTTTAAGTGATGCCTTTTAGGAAGTTAGTTATAAGATTCAGATCATTTTATTTGGAACATAACTATATCAGACGAAATTTAAGAGTGCGAGTATATAGATAAAGCGGGCTAGCTAGTTAGCTATTCATACTCCTATATTGGGTGCTATTTAATTAATAACAGTTGATTACGCAGCAATAAAATCACAGATCAGTGTGATTGTTATTTGAAAACATTTCATCTTTTTCACAAAGGCTATCAGAGCTTTCTGAAGATGCGTGCAGAGTTTGCAAGACTTTCGTCCTTCAATGTACATTGCTGAACGAGACGGCAGGGACGCAAATTTGAGAAAATATAAGCTCTATACTACTCTATACTTCAATTGGAATTTAAGGTAACCCATAGCTTTATCTGATCTAAGTTCGTGAAATTGGAGCAACAATCCATTGAGCAAGCGCAGGTGAACTAAGCGTTTTAATTCAGCTCGCCCATAAAGAAAAATTGAGTTTTAAGTGAATTTGAACAATTCTGGGCAGATATGGTATACTCGAAAATACATAAACGGTGATCAGAACTCTTGGAAACCGTGACCATCATATTCAGATGTTACCATCCTTCAGAGCTGTGGGACCCTTAACCGGAATTCATTGCATATAAGTACGAGTATTTTCGAAAAAAGTGTCTGATGTAGGCGTTAGCCCGAAACCATTTCCGTTACGCTGATTAGCAGGCTGTCCGAGTCAAGCACTGATAGGCGATGCTTCAGAATTTGCATAAACTAATTTATTTTGCCACCTTATCGGCAAGTTAGATAAGAGGCAGTAATATATAAGTACATAAAGCGGGCGACTCAGATAAGCAGGCCAGAAAATTCAATTAGCTTGTTCCGACATGCTGGCGAGGTGTGGAAATCAAAACAAATTTTCGTCACTTTATAACTTTGAATTTTTATTAGAGATTTTGCTTGCGATTTTCATCTCCTTTCTTCCAATTCGTTCAAATTTTGTTGTTGTTTTTATTTTTAATTTATGATGTAATTTCAATAATTTAGAATCAGTTTAAAACGGTATTCTTTCGGAATAAGTATTTTTAGAATTAAAATCGCATTTTCAATCAATTTCGCTTATTACATTTCATTCGTTTTTCGTGTTCTTTTTAGAGTTCTCTTTGTATTTAGATGAAAGCTGTAAAATGTACTAAGAAAATATACACACGTGGAGCAGGCCATCTAAAGTACATATACATATGTATGTATGTAATTGAAGGTTATGTGTATGTGTTGTCTGTATTTTAGGTCCGTTCGTGGGTGGAAAGTTGTGAGTGCCCAGCAAACCATTCGTCCTTTAACCAATTAACCTGTTGGTGTGGGCAAGACAACTGCAATGGATTGCGCATACGCAGCGTGGGCCCGAAAATCGTGTCAAGTGTTGCATAAAATTTAATCATATGTACATATGTATGTATGAATACGTTTTCTTTAATTTACTATACATAATTATAACTCTCATTATTGTTAGTTTTGCAGTAAGTTCAGTTGCACAGCGCACAATGGTATCATTCTTAAATTAAATATATTTATTATTTTATCCCTTTTCTAATAACTTATTACACTCTTGCCCTACTGGCCATTACAAATGAAGGCCGACGTTTGTCATAAGTACCAATGGCCCTATGGCACTAGACTACAAATTGAGACTTTGTTGAATTGGAAAATCAGAAAAGGCCAGCATTAGAAATCGTATATCAAAGGTTTGGCGGTGTAGGCAGAGTCCACAGAGCAAGGAAAAACCACAGTGTTTTATCAACAACAATTTCTATGCTATACATTGCTTTATTCCAGTTCCATTACGAAGGCAGGCTTTCAATTAACTCTCCAAATATAAATAGCAAACAAAACCGTTTTCCAATTTTACACAATCTTATTATTATTGCAATTACTATAGCAGAGATAATTATGGAAACGTGTCAAATACATTAAATGTAGTCTAAATATTATTTCAAAGTATATTTTCAAATTACGTTTCATGCCCCGAAAATAACAAAATCGCTCGCCCAGAGCAATGGGAAAAATTTTCTTTTTTTTATTTTGCTGGGTCGTCCAATACTAATTTAAGAATATCATGTAAGAAAGTTAGTGGCGGAAGTTAGATTTCCGATATCAAAGTTGTGGCGAAAGAGTCAATTCTGTTTTGATATTATTCTTTGAATAAAGCAGTCAGATGCAAAAAAATTAGCTAAAGACTTTCATTTTCTTAATTCATAATGTTTTTCAAGGCGAACAAAGTTGTTTTCTAAGTACATCGGATATCAAACCTTTTGAAAGAGCGACATAAAAATTACTTAAATTATAGGTATAAATTAAATGTACTTGTCTACTGTTTCAATTATAAATATTAACAGCTTTCATCTATAAAGCTGGCCTTACTTGTGTGGTATGAGGGGGAAGTACCTTTGAAAGTTAAAAGAGCTACAAAGAGACATGCACCAGGTTATTGGAAGGGGCAGAATGGGAAGCAATTCCTCTGACAACATGCAACACAAATGCGTCGATTCTATGCCACGCCGATGTCGGACACCTTTTGTAAATAAAGGAATACAATTTTTAATCGTAAAAATAGATTAAAACTATCAAGTGTCATTTTTATGGTTTATTTAACAATATGAAACTGAAAGTTTCATTTCTATTATTTATTTAACAATATGAAACTGTTCAGGAATGGATGAAGTTATTGGAATACTTTGCCTTCTTAATTGTGCACTGATTTTGATTTTTTTTTTTTTTTTTGATTTATTACCAAGAAGTATTTGCCGACTTCGTATTTATCTGAAACAACGTTATGTCCAGATTGCATTTCTTTGCCTCTAGAGAATGATATTTTAGATACATGAGCATATATACATAAGTATATGTATGCATAAAAATTTCATCAGTTAGCTATCAAAATTGCTGTGGTATTATGAATTTTGGTGTTACTCTATTTAAGGGCGTTATACAGCCCACTTTTCCAGTCAGCTGTTGCATCTCATTAAGTAATATTGCACATGGATGCGAAATGTAAGAAATGGGAGTCAAACTTTAATTGTTACGATCATATACATACATCTGCGAATTATAACTTGACCTCAAGAAGTGTATGTATATGTATTTGGTGCTAACAATCAGTCGCAGAACCAAGCAGTTTCCTGTCAAGGGGGCCTTAAAATGCAATTAATTGCTTCGATGAGTAGCTTTTCAAAGGAATAAACTATAAACCTAATTTATGACTTCTTTGGGAGATAAGACCATGGGCTATAATGGGTAGCATTGTCTAACAGGGTCAACTTAACTATTTTTCGGAAAAAATATCTTAATGTCCCTCGACCTCAAGAATTTTCAAAAGGATACAGCAAGCAGATATGAAACACACATTCTTTATGAATAGTCCATGTAGAGGACTTTCCAACGAGGATTTTCCCTGGCCATAAATAAATAACATAAATTTATTTATTCAATTTTTAATGAATAACAACTTAATAATCACAAAATTATAATTTTTTAGCTTTGCTACTTATGTGTCGGAAGGAGAATCAAACGGCATACCAAGACTATTCAAAAATTGAATTCAATATATAATTGAAATCAATCAATTGAAACCAAAAGTGTATTTCAATCCCATTCGATTGGCATATCGAAACCAAATTCTGAAAGTGTTTTTCAATCCCATTCGAAACTAGCTGTTCTATAAGTTTAAGCTGGTGCTTTCGCCACTACATGGACCACCATTGATATACGAGTATATATATGTAGAGTATATATATATTTATGTACAATTGAAGCAAAATAGTTTCAGTATGCGCCACACATCTCGATTGGTACACCAAGACAAAAACAATAAGCAAAACGATTCAGCATGATAACAATAAATACATACAAGAATAACAGTAATGCCTTAAAATTTGTTTAATTGATTTGCAATGTTTTCTTTTTGTTTTTGAAATGATGGCCAAAGCATTGCACTTTTCTGACCTTCAAAATTGCAAATGTTTTTTAGGGAAAGCAAACCGCTATCGTAACCATTATTTGAATCCAATTGCAGCTTTCGTGAACCGTAATTAAATAATAATTGAGACTACAGGCCAAATATTGAAATGTTCTTAAATTGCGATTCAAAATTTCACGTACAATTATAATAGATTTATGTTTAAATTTTTAGATTTACGGCTTTAAAAGACCCCAAAGGAACGCCTCAAGCATTATTGGATCAAGAATATCATGAAATTTTTGCAATTTAACCGGAAATCACTTTTAACAGCCATGATCAAAATACAAACAACTTTGTGGGAACTGATTCTAAAATCAAGAAAAGCAAACCTATATTTAAAAGATTTAAGCTTTTTCTTTAAGAAATATATTAATATCTAATATCCAATTATATAAAAAAATGTTACAATTATTTTTCAAGAAAGACAAAAATAAGACGTGTTTTTTAATTACTATGTTTTGAAATATTTGTAGTATCTTGACAAAAATAGCGGTGTCTAGTATTTTAAATGCTCCTAAATGCCTTTGAAATAACTCAAGAAATATTATTCTGGCGCTTACACGTACCATATCCGAGCTTCATTCATTCTCCCCCACATATTCTCAGCAAGTTTCGTTCTGAAAAGTTAATATTCAGAATACTTGTAGTGTGATAGACATTACTTCGGGGTAAATTTTTTGCCGTGTACATTGACTTGATACTTATATTTATATTCCTCTATTTATTGGCAGAGCACTTTACGTTCAAATATGCCATTATAATTGGCAGACTTGCCGCTGCTCTGCCATTGCCTGTTGTTGTTGTTGGTTTTGTTGCTGCTTTTCAAATGTGCGTTTCGTTATAATTGCTTGCAAGTTTTTGCACAACAAACAGTTCTTAATAGTAATATTTTATTAGCAGTTTAGAGGTGCGCATATACTTGTACTAGTATGTTTTGCTTTCATTCTCCCATTACTCATGCTCGTGCATTTCAAGACTTTGCCTTAACTTGGCCAACTTATTGGCTTTGGCTATTGGCATTGGCTCGAAGCTTTCACCATAAGTCGCTTTGGAAATTTGTATACAAAAAGAGAGTCGATTTCATTGCCAATTTCTTAGCAATCATTTTGCATAAACTCAGCAACAATTTATTGGATGTCTTAAAGCATTTTGTGTATTTTTTAAATAGACGGACAGGCTTTAGCGAGAAACTGCCTCCTCTTCAAAGTTTTGGAGCAATATGTTTGAAAACCTCTTCTTTCTTATGGCAATACGAATCAAAGCCTTTCAAAATTGGACTGAATGTACTTTTTGAGTCTATCTACTTAAGTTGTAAGGAGAAATACTCTCTAAATAGAAAACTTTTTTGAAGTATTATTTAACGAGAAAGCTCGACCATTTTTTGATTTTGATCGAAGTGTAGTTGTCCAAGTTTTGGCTTCTAATGGTGTTCTGTCTATTTTCAGAGTTTTTGAGCTATATCCCCTTTAATTGTTTCGATTCGAACTCTTCTTCCCCTCTGTTTTTCTCAGCAGGACAGCATGTAATTGTATGTATTTTAACATTTGTAACATGCGCGCTTCATATTTGCATTTTGTTTTATTGTTAAATATTGCAAAATATTGCCGAGAGCCAGCAGGCTAATAATCGGGGGAAAGGCGCTTATCTATATGTTTGTTTGCCATTTTAATATTTGTAATTTGTTTAATTGCACGGACAATGCTCGATCGTAATCATCTACCCCGAAGGCATCGTCTTCCACCAGCTTCAGTTCAATTTGCAAGATTCAAATTTAATTGCCCAAATAGGAACTTCGTATATTAATACACATTCTCATAAACATTAATTCATACAGTCGACGGCATAGGTATTTTGATTCGGCTTTTCTAAACACCTGAATAATTTAGTTAGTTAGTCCATATTTTGAAAATCTAAAAAAAACTTGATATGCCTAGACGTACGATATATGCGCAGATGAAGTTTGATGGCTCTAGCTCTTATGGGTTTCGAAATAGAGACGTTCAGACATGCGGACTGATATAACTGATAGACTGACTGACTTGCTTGGCCGTAGGTCGATATGGTTCAAAATGGTTGGGTTGTATGGACTTAAAAGTTTCTAAAGAATGCATAAAAAGCATGCCCAAATACTAGTACTTTACGAATTCCACAATACTTATACCATCTACTATATACGAATATACATACACTTTCGTGCACTTTTTTATTTTGCATATGTCTCAGCTTATTTAAATTGTTTATTAAAAATGTTGCACGAGCTTTGCTTTTTCTTTTTTGTTTGTTTGTTTCTTGATTTCTTGTTTTTAGCAATTTCAGCGATGAACTTTTAGTTGTTTTAATAATAGAAAAAAATTGCATGTTTTCCATGTATAAATATTATCGGATTTCTTTTTTAATTAATTAAACAACAATAACACGTGATGTCGAAAAATTCAGCTACAATAATTGATTTAAAATATTTACGCAAGTAATTCTTTTGTTTCATTTCATTTTCTTTTCTTTCTTGTTGGTTAAGTTTCTTTTTTTAGTTTCGCTTGTTTTCGTTTTTATTATTGTTTTACTTTTTTTTGTTGCTTTGTTTACAATAAACGCATGTATTGTTATGACAATTTGTTTTGTTTTTAGCACGATTTTTGGCCAACAATTAAAGAGTTTCGCTTTTGTTTTTACATGTATTTCATAATTTAGTTGCTAGTTTCGAGACAAAGTTGTAAAAAAAAGATCTCAACGACTCGCCCGCTTCCGTCCCGGCACATCTACGCGTACATAGTACATACATGTATCTGTTAATGTGTTTGGATGTGGGCGTGTTTGCTCGTCTGTGTGCGAGTTAAAAAATTTAGTTAGTTTACACATATACAATACATGCATGCAAATATGTAAATAGCATATACATATATAAATAGTTATATATAAATAGAAGCCGCTGCCGCAGCCTGGCCTTAGCTGTTCAGTTATGTATTATAATTATTATTAATATTATTATAATCATATTATATAAATATATATGTATATATATAATATATAAAATAAATAATTAACACTTTTCTTTTCTTTTATGTGAATACTTTAAGATTTGCTTGCGCTACACAAATGCCGTGTAGACTGGAAGATATAGTATGTATGTATGTATGTATCTTTATATGCACATTGCGCGCGCGTGTGTGTGTGTGTGTGTGTTGCATGTACGGCCATTTTAAAGTAAAGAAGACGCAACTGGCTGCACTTAAGCACGTCGAGGACATTGAATGCGAGCACTAAACCAAACGCAGCTTAGCACTGCGACAATGCTGACGCCTTAGTTTGCAGCGATAGCAATAGTCGTAGCTTTTCCTATTGTTCCTATTGTTGTTGTTGTTCTGGTACTAATTGTTGTTATTGTTGTTGTTGTTGTTGTTATTATTATTGTTGTTGTTGCGGGCATACCAACGTCTGCCCGACATCCAATCCTTGAGGCGCTTGGGAAATGCACAGCAATGCATCAGAATGCTATAGAGCCTATAAACTAATTGGATTAGCTGCCGCCTGACTTGTCGCCTGACTTGACGCCGAACGCACACAAATGCCGACGATTAGGAATGCAGTTGGGCGCGATCCTTGGCCCGACGCTTTGCCAGCATCGAGAGCTCAACGGGTCCCACATTGGCCGCCTGTGGTATGGCAATGGCACGAAATGTGGCATCAACAGCGCCCCTCAAGGCCGTCGAATTATGATTGTGCTGCTGCTGCTGCGCACCCAGAGAAAGTTGGGGAGGCGCTGTCGTATACTCTGTGAGCTGCACCTGCCCAGCGAACTGATCCCGCACCCAACTGTGCTCCAGTATTTGCGCCGCCGTCGGCCGATTCTCGGGCACAATATGCAACATTTGGCGCAGCAGCTCCTTAACCGGCACACTGATCAGAGCCCAGCGACTGATACTGAAGTCTATATGTCCCGATCCGATGCGCTTCAGTATTATGTCGGCGGAGTCGTTCGGCGTGGAGGCAAAAGGTGTGCGGCCCGACAGCATTATGTATAGCAGCACGCCCAGCGACCAGATGTCGCAAGCCAGGTCGTAGCCTTGACGCTTCAGCACTTCCGGCGCCACAAAGTTGGCCGTGTAGCAGGGTGTCATTAGCAGGCCATTATCGGCACGCAGCTGTTTTGCAAAACCTGCAGGCATGGGGAGAGGTTATGGAGCGTTTAGTTTCAGGTTAGGCGGATAGTCAATACAAATGGCAATGAACGGTTCTGCGTTTATGGGGGAGTCCAAATTCCCACGTCACTATGGGGAATGCAATATTGATAATCAAAATGTTGCAAATGACCCTACACTCTGAACAATTAGACTAGAACTTTTGCTTGATTGTGGAAAAAAAAAGGAAAGCCCCTTACCTCCCCACCAGTGTGCTTCAATTAAAAAACTCTTTTTCGACGGCAGTCCACGAATTGCAATACCATTTAAGATTATGGTCAGGCGTCAAAAAGAACTTAAACCGAATAGGCTATGGCTATGACAGGTACATACATACATATATGATATAGTGCATCGATTTAAATAACACTTTAGTTCATGCTCAATTAAGGGTCTCGACAAGTCCACAAACAAGGTCTGTTGTTTTCTGGTGTTGCTATGGCTGATAAGTTTCCAGTGTTCGGATTAATTTATCTGGGGTCCCCTTATTGTTCCGATTTTTGTTCTATACCGTTCCACCTTTGGACGGTTTTTTCGGGACTTTCAAAGTTAAGTGAAAAGCACCTCCCCTTATTTATACATATTTTAGGTGCTTGGGAAATTTGTTATCATTATTATGTCTGTTTGTATTTCTCAAATCAGTGTTGTTACATATTTATATGAGGCTTAGAGACCGTAACGCATGTATCTGTTTTGACTTCTTATCTACCTTGGTACTATCTAGAGCACAATATTACTTGTGTCATAGGTTCGGCCGCCATTCTTTCAATGTCGTTGTTAATGGCAAAATAAATAAAATTTCCATTGCATGGAATTTTTATATTCTTGCGTGAAACCCGTAATATTTAATTATTAGCATTGGCTCCATATAAACGCATAAACAGAGTTGCCAGCCCCCGATACAGTATACAGTCCCTCTACTCACCTAGATCGCACAGTTTTAGGGTCTCTGGGGTTTGCCGCATGCTCGCGTATATCATGTTCGAGGGCTTGAGGTCGCGATGGACGACGCCGTGCTCGTGCAGATAGGCCACGGCCGAGGCGATGGTGCGTAGGACCGCGCTGGCCTCGCTCTCGCACATCTGGCCAACGGCCAAAATGCGATCCAGGAGCTCGCCCCCCTTCAGCAGCTCCATGACCAGATACGCCGAGCTGGTGTCCTCGTAGACAGAGTAAAGGGTGACAATGTTCGGGTGGTTGCCATACCGCAACATTATCTCGACCTCCTCCCAACAATCGGCAGATGTGGAAGCGGCAGCTACTGCTGCCTTCTCAATAATTTTCACCGCGTAGTGCTTCTTGGAGGAGCGGTTCTCGCAGAGGCGGCAAACAGAGAAGGTGCCGCGACCGAGTTCCTGTAATACATTATATTCGGCGTGAAAATTTCCTGGCAGTACTCCAGGTAGACTCCGTGGCATGTGAGCGCCAGAGCCCGCCCCCACACCCGTTGTCATTGTGGTCGTAATGGCGGACCCGGAGCCCGAGGAAGTGTTCGAGGTGTTGGTGTTGTGCAGGGGACTGACATTGTTCGAGCAACTGTTCGGCGTGCCCTGCGACTCAAGCAGCACGGGCGCCACAAAACTGAAGCCTCGAAAGATCTCGTGCGCCGATGCCGATATAGGACCACCGGGTGAGTCGCGCGGCGACTTCGAGGTGTACTCCACATCAAAATAGAAGGCATCGTCTCGCGAGACTGCCGGTATAAACGGTGGACGCACTTGCTTGCGCTCCAGCCGCACCCAGTCGATGGTTGCAAAGAAGCAGTGCGCCTTTATGTCTAGTATGCCCTGCGCGCCCGCACCCAATCGATTTTGGGGGTTGCGCTTAAAGAGTGCTCGTAGCAGCGACTGCGCCTCCGGCGAAAGATTCTCGGGCATTCCCAGCTTGGAGCGAAGTATTTGATTCATTGTCTCCTGCCGCGTCTGGCCGTGGAAGGGTAGATTTCCCGTAAGCATCTCGTACATAAGGACGCCAAAGGACCACCAATCGGCGGCAAAGTCGTGACCCTTGCGGTTCACAATCTCTGGTGCCATGTACTCCACCGTACCGCAGAAGCTGTACGTTTTGGAGCCGTCCAGCGGCTGTTTGGAGAGGCCAAAATCGGTCAGCGCTATGTGTCCGTTTTCGTCCAGCAATATGTTCTCCGGTTTCAGATCGCGATAAATGATGCCTAGGGTGTGTAGATGGTTGAGGGCCAACGCCAGTTCGGCCAAATAAAATTTGACGTCCTCCTCGGTGAACATGACCTCTTTGGACAGGCGCGTGAAGAGATCGCCTCCGCGCAGAAAGTCCAGTATCAGATAGAGTTTACCGGGCGTTTGGAACGCATAGTGCAGCTTCACAATGAAGGCATGGCCCACATCAGCCAGGATTTTGCGTTCGTTGGTGCTGCGCACGCGATCCTTGACCTTGAGGGTGGCCTTCTTTAGCACCTTCATGGCATACAGTGTGCCCGCATCCTTGCCAATTATTTTTCGCACCAGAAACACCTTACCAAAACTACCTTCGCCGAGGACACGTAACAGTTCAAACTGGGAGGGATCGGCCTTGTCGTGACCTTCCTTGATGACCTCGCGCAGCTCAAATTCGTTCTCGCAATCGAAGGCCATGGCGCTCATCGCATCTGCGGGCGCACAATACGACTCGGAATCGCTCAGCTCCATCTGCTCCGGCATGTCTGTGGTGATGGTTAGCGTGGCTACCGTCACGGTGGCGCTGGTGTTGGCGGTTGGAACTGTTTCGACCGTTGGCGATATGTGATGTTGTTCCAGTGCTGCCTGTAGAGCCGATTGTTGTTGTTGTTGCACCTGTTGCTGGTGCTGGCGACGCTGCGATGATGTCACCATTGTCACACCAGCACTCTCCTCATCGGTAGGTGTGTGCTCCATGGGCGTCACCGCCAGACTACTGCATCCGGAGGAGGTAATCTGCATGCGCTGGCGCAGCTGCAAGCCCACTCCCATCCCTGAGGCACCATTGTCCAGCTGTACTTGGGCGTTGATGGTTGCATTGTTGTTGTTGCTGGCGCTTGCGCTGCTGCCGCCACTGCTACTGCTGGCATTGGTGTTGCTGCCGCCACCGACGACCAGTTGTTGCTGTTGTTGCTGCTGCTGCTGCTGCTGTCTCAGATCCTTGTTGGAGTCAGCCAGTGGCATGACTGACACTGCCCCTGCCCCGTTGGCGTTGGCTCTAAATTGCACGTACACTTTTGTAGGCGTTTTGTGGCCTTTCGCTCTGCCTCTGCAGCGTGTTATTGGCGTATAGCGTGTGGTGTTTTCCACGAAACTTTTTTATTTTCTATTTTTTTTATTACTTCCGCTACGGGCAGGCACGGACACGGGCACGGCAATGGCAATGGCAACGGCCCCACTGCGAGTGGAGTGGAGGTGGCCGCGACCAGCCGACTTGGTTTTGTGTTTGGTGACGCTGACGGCGACTGCGACGGCGGGGGCGCAGCAAACTGGCAAGCGTAGGCGCGAGCTAGCTCGGCTGCTGCTTTTCACTTCGCTGCTGCTGCTTCTGCTGCTGTTGGCGTTTGCTTATGTTTGTTTGGTTCGCTTGTTTGCTTCGCTTGGCACAGTTTGTTTCACAAATTTTTGGTTGGTTTTTTGGTTTTAATGCAATTATTGCCACTCTTCCTTTGCTTATCACTATTATTTACACTTTACACAATTAATATTTAATCTACTCTTTGCTATACAACTACAGTTAAAAACGTTGTTGTTGCAATGCGTCGCGCTCTCTCTCTCACGCACACATGCATAGGCACTCACACCAGGCGGAGCTCGCTCGTGGCCAGTGCTCGATAGTGCGCTGCCTGAATCAAAACTTAACACTGCTCAACACTGGAAGTACGAGTATATGCTACGGACACAGCAGGGGGCGCTGTGAACACCATCTAGCGGTAATTCAACCTCAACTACAATTTGAATGGGAAAACCCGAAGATTGTCTTATTGTTATTATTATTATTATTACAAGTATTTTAAAGCAAAATTAGAGAACGAAATTTTAGTACTCACTTGGTGCAAATCTGCAGAGCACAGCGGTAGACGGACACAATGCTGACAACGAAATGTAAAAACAGGGCGAATATTAAACCACATGCGGCCGAAACTTCGCTATTGGTGTTCATGAGGTCGAACTGAAAATTTAAGAGAACGAGTCAGCAACAAATCCAATTAGGCATAACAAACAAATTTGAATTTGCACCAACGGGGGCGCACTCACCTGTGCCTTCTCCTCGGCCATGCGATTGAGGTCACGCGACAGGCCCACACCCGAAATGGCCAACGCCAGCGTGCTGGTAGCTATACAAACCAGGCTGAGAGCTAAAAAGGCCGTCTGTGTTTTGCGCATGCTGACCACGCCCAGTGAGCCGGTAACGGCTGCCGTCAGACCCGTCCAAATGCCACAGCCGGCCATCGACAAGGCCGCGTCGCGCACGATCAGCAGCGAGCCGAGCGCCACCAGCGAGACGGCCAAGACCAGTTGAAGTGTGCCGAGCACAATTTGCAGGGGGAACGCAGAACAGCACTCGTTGCTAGCCCGATACTTGCGGCGCCCCTTCATCGACAACGAGGAGCCGGCGCCATCATCGCCACTGCTCCCCTCCTTGTATTTGATGAACTCGGGCGGAAAGCGCTGCTTCTTGCTGATGCGCGAGTCGATTGTGTTGGCCGCATTCTTTGCCGCTCCAGCCGCCGGTAACTGACCGCGCGTGGCCATGGCCTCCTCCAGTTGCTGTTTGAACTCCTGATGTGTGATTAGCTTGGGCTTCTTCATGTCGTCCACCACATTGTCCACCAGACTCTGCTTGGCTGCATCTTCGCCAAGCGCATTGGCCAGCAATGTGGCTGCTGTCAGCTTCAGTGGCTGCGGCTTCTGATCGTACACGGGACTCGAATAGATGTGACTCTGTGCATCCTGGCGGCCGCTCTCCTCCGACTCACCCGCCGGCTCACTCTGATCCCGCTGCTGTAGCATCGCTATCTGTGAATTGGTCAGACTATCATTGCCCGTCTCCTGGGCATTTGTTGTGTTCGTGCTGCGCTCTATGTTGTTGGTGGCCACCTGAAGCAGCTCCTCCCGATTCAGACTGCGATCCACAATGGTGTCCATGCTCCCTGTGGTCGAGTCGTGCGAGTCTATGGTGCGGGCTGGTGATGCCGAGTGCCGACCGTTGAAGTCGCTTGTACTGTTGTTGTTGTTATTAGTATTGTTGTTGTTGTTGCTTGCTTCCGTCATGGCTGTCTCAGTGGTGCATTGGACTGCTGTGAAGGGAGGACAAGAAAAGAGAGGACATGCATTAAAAACGGCCTTTAAAGCTACTCCTGGAATTTGTTCGGCAGGCTCTGAAAATCAAATGCAACAAGCTTAAAACAAATGATCTACGTTTGTTCCACACTTAATTTCTTTTTGGGCATGGGCAGCAACCTATCTAAAATTTATCTAAACTTTTTAAACAATATATTTAACTAAGAAACAGAATAAGATTTGAATAATCATTTAGAAAACCAGAAGAAAACCCCTTAAGAGAGAGAGAGTAAGCAGACACGTTTTTTTAAAAACGCGTACTTACTGGAATTTTCCAAAAGTATATAAAATTTATAAACTAATAGTTTAAAATAAATTTCCTTATACCGAGTTCCAACCCAAGAACATAGGACTTTCTCAGTGTTCATATTTCAAAACACTAAAACTTTTATTGTTTGAAGAAACTGTTTCCATGCTCTTTAGAGCTATTTGTTTTTGAACGTTTTTGTGAATTTATAAAAAAGGTGTGGCATAATATAGTAATGTCAGCATTTTAAGATAAGAACGCTCTAGAGTCTAGGCCCATTGCAAATACGTTACTTAGTCAATAGACAGAGACACAATTTCCTGCTTGCCAGTAAGGCCCGTTTTATCTGAAATCTGTTGCCTGCTACACCCTATCGACAATATTGGTACCATTTCAGAGCTATTGTGGCATTAACAATATGTGTTTGTTTTAGTGAGTTTATAAAAGAGGCGTGGCATAATATTGTCAGCTTTTTAAGATAAGAAGGCTCTAGACCCATTGCAAAATCGTTACTAAATAGATGGGCAGAGACACAATTTCCTGCTTGCTAGTAAGGCCCGTTTTATCTATCGTCTGTTTCAATATTCTATTCCATTTCAGAGATATTGCTTATAAAAGAGGCCTGGCATAATATTGTCAGCATTTAAAGAGAAGAAGGCTCTAGACCCATTGCAAAATCGTTACTAAATAGATGGACAGAGACACAATTTCCTGCTTGCTAGTAAGGCCCGTTTTATCTGAAATCTGTTGCCTGCTACACCCTATCGACAATATTGATACCATTTCAGAGCTATTGTGGCATTAACAATATGTGTTTGTTTTAGTGAGTTTATAAAAGAGGAGCTTTTTAAGATAAGAAGGCTCTAGACCCATTGCAAAATCGTTACTAAATAGATGGACAGAGACACAATTTCCTGCTTGCTAGTATGGCCCGTTTTATCTATAGACTATTTCATTATTCTATTCCATTTCATTAACAATATGTGTTCGTTTTAGTGAGTTTATAAAAGAGGCCTGGCATAATACTGTCAGCATTTAAAGAGAAGAAGGCTCTAGACCCATTGCAAAATCGTTAAAAAAAAATGGATGGACAGAGACACAATTTCCTGCTTGCTAGTAAGGCCCGTTTTATCTGAAATCTGTTGCCTGCTACACCCTATCGACAATATTGGTACCATTTCAGAGCCACAATGGCATTAACAATGTGTTTGTATTGCAGGCCGTAGCTAAGTCCACAGATCGGCCGTTCATGAGCGGCGGAGCGATAATTAAATGCGAGCGGGTGCGAAGCGAACCAGTTAGTTGGGCTTTGTCGCTGCTTTATTGGCTTAATTTTTGACTGATCCATACAAATTAACAACAATCACCCACAGTGATCGCAATGTTTGCCACGGGCGCGGTTTGTTGCCGGTGCCGTTGTCGTTGCTGCTGGCATTGTATTTGCCTTTGGCTGCCCCCCCACAACAAGTTCGTTGCCCAAGTCTTTTGTCTTAAGCTTCTCACTACTGGCCTTTCGAAAATCTCGCTGCCCTGGCAAATTGTCAACACACTTTGGCCTGCGGCGATGACAGGGACTTTTTTATCGCCAATCTCAGCCGCAGAGCAATTGTCTCATAATTGCCCAATTTACAGTCATCTCATTCACAAAATCACAATTAATAAGCGATCGTTGGCGAAACTAAGTTCTTGTCTCAGCCAAAAACAATTGTCAACTCGCTCGCATTGTGACAACTTTAAGCAACTGTTGATTTTCTTGTTGTTGTTGCAGGTTTCCTTTTCAAAGATGTTTGCTTGTGTGTGTGCCTTGACATTAGCCAACTTCAGCTTTACGTACACTTAGCGAAAAGAACTTAAATCCAGTGTTTTGCTTTTTATTCCATATTCCACACAAAAGGCACATTTCAGCTGCGTGCTTTCTGGGTGCGGCAGTTTCTTCATTGCTCAGCTCTTTAATATCGATTTGATGTCGGAGCTTTCCAATTTCAGTTTAAAATCAAGGACTTGAACACTTGGTAACGAGGCCAAACCTAATAATTTATAAATGTTTTTTTCTGAGAGCTAGAAAACAGAATCAACATTGTGTAGAACTTTTGTCAAAGTTGGGAATTAAAAAATCGTCAAGTGTACGATACTTGTATGTAACAGATAATACTTATATATTGATCTGTCTGCCTGTACTTCTGTCCGTACGCGTGAGCACCGAAAACTTTTGAGCCTTGGTCTTGGTCTGCAGATTTGTCTTTGCATATGCAGAGCAAGCTCATTACTAACTTTTCATACGATCAATCGATCCATATATATTGCAAGAAAATCTTGTATGCTAGTATTATTATTGTACTTTGTTCATAATAAAGTAGTTAATAGAATAGAATTGAAAGTATTTCGAACAACTATGAAAAACTATGACTCAAGAAAAACTGACAAGCAGAGTGCAAGAGTTGCAAGTTCTTTCCCATGCTAATTAGTTTACATTTTACAATTTTTATTTATTACATTAATCTAATCGAATATTTATAACATATTTCAATGTCTCCCATGGTAGATATATATAGTATGTATATGTGATTTCAAGATTCGATTTGTCTTTTTGGAAAGTGTACCTTTTAGCGCAAATATGTTCAAGTACCATATTATTGTTTTTTTTATACCCTGTACCCGTAGGGTAAAAAGGGTATATTAGGTTTGTGCAAAGTATGTAACATACAGAAGGAAGCATCTCCGACCCCATAAAGTATATATATTCTTGATCAGCATGACGAGAGAAATCGATCTAGACATGTCCGTCCGTCTGTCCGTCCGTCTGTCCGTCTGTCCGTCTGTCCGTCTGTCCGTCCGTCTGGATGAACGCAAGGATCTCGGAAACTATTAAAGCTAGAATAACCAAAGTTGGCATCCAGATTCTCCTAGGTCCGAGTAAGGACGAGTTTATTTTTTTTTTTTTAATTTCCCCCCCCTTCCCCCGCTACAGAATTTCGTCAATAGCGTCCACATTTCAAATGCTACCTAAACCAAACTTTGCACACATAATTTCTATACAATTATCTACTGTTGTTTAAAATTTTATCAAATTCGGTCAATTCTAAGAAAAGTTATTAGCAAAACAAATTCTCACCAGTACAACCCCCCCAAACTGCAGCAACAAGTTCGCTCTTCTTCTTCCTGTTTTTGCTGCTGCTATGGGCGCATATAACTCAGTGACGGAAGTTTACCTGGGTACAGGGTATTACACTGTCGGGCTTGCTCGACTGTAGCGTTCTCTCTTGTTTTATGTTAAACCGGTTGTCAATAAATTCGCATTTACTGAACAAGGCGAGGCGAAATAAATCAAAAACGCGCTACACTTGCCAAAAGCTAAAATGTGGAGCAACCCCAGGCGCCCGCCTTAGCCAGTTGTGTCAGCACTCGCTGCGTATGAGCGATTCTTGTGGAGGCAAACCACCTGAGTGGCCGTGTCACAGAACTGCGCTGAGCTGAGCTGAGCTAAGCTGCCCAGCTGATCTGATCTGAATTTGATATTGTTGTTGTTGTTGTTGTCACAATCGCCGTCTATAGCCAATCGGGGCTTGTCAATTGCTTCGACATAGAACATTGCTTATATGTGTCCAGTGATATGTGAGTATGTCTGTATCGGATTACCCGACTTTAGGCGTCTGTTGACAATGCAACTGCATTTCATGACTACAAGTAAAATGTATAGCTGGAGAATTGCGTTGAAATAATTAAGACCATTGCACAAAAGCAAATAATTTAATTTAATAACTGTTTAAGCAAAAGCACGTTCAACGCAAAACTGAAACACGCGTTGAAAACTAGATTTAAAAACCCAAATAGCTGATAAAAACCAGTTTACAATCATTAGCTGATAATTATGAGTAACCTACACTAGATATATAAGTAGATATGTAGAAATCCCTTCATGGACGTTGGCGTTGTTTACACAACCCAGCTGTAAGTATAGACTATTAATACTATACTTTATATTGTTTCACGATATAAAATCAGTTCACAATTTAAACTTATGTATTTAAACATGAATATTATTATGCCAACAAAATTGTAAATCTTTAACAGTAAAGAGTATCACATTCAATATAATATTAAATACTAAAGAAAACTTCTATTTACTCCCAGAAAAACTCAATTCGTTTTAAATCTGTTATTTTCATGATCTTAAAAAGCTCTGCAAAAATATGCCCGGGAGTGTGTCGAGTTCGAAGACATTGCAATATTTTTTCTGAATTGGACATATCCGTACTCCAAACTCATTTTTATATACCATTTGAGGTGCTGGCTTGACACTCGAAGTAAGTCTTGGGACCGTATATTCCAATATATTTGCATATCGGATTTTTATGTTCTAGCATAAAAACAACAGTCTGAGTATGTAGAACCTTTTCTAAATATCGGATTATTTAAAATTTCTGTTTTTTTTTCTCGGACTATAAAAATGCATTTGACATTTCATTCATGTCAGAAATTTTAGAAACAAAAAACTAGATATTACAAAATGCAATTTGTTGTGTGAGGGGCGGCCACAAATAATTATTTTCAGATGACACGTTCAATAAGTTGACTTAAATATACATTAAAAAGTATCTTCAACAAAATATGTTTCAGAAAAAAGAAGTCTTTTGAAAACGAACATTTTGAGACTCCTCTATCCCAAAATATATTTTTTTAGAATAACGCGTTAAATAAATCGACTTAAATTCACATTAAAAAGTATCTTCAACAAAATATGTTTCAATAGAAAGAAGCCTTTTTTGAAAACGTTTGTAGAAATGCGAGCACGAACATTTTGAGACTCCTTTTAAGGAGTGTCTTTTTTAATTAGTTTTTCTCCAAGAGAGACAACAAAAGTTTCGACTAATCAGCTTGTTGGGAGTTATTCGCACACTTTATTTTTACAAATTCAATTGATTTTGCAGTTTCATTGTTGTTGTAATGGCTTTGCCCGCCATTGCTGGCAATTAGAGTGCATGAGATTTGCCTTGAGAGCAATTAGACATAATTGGCCACCACACACATGCCATTATGTCGCTCAATTAGTCAAAGCGTTCGCGTTTAACGCTTTTGTTGGGGCTTTTCTCAATAAAGCCGCTTTGACTTGTGCCCCGAAAAACTATGTATATGCATTAATTCCCACACTTGCTGCATTTAAAGCTGTTCAGGCCACTTAAGCCGCCGAGCAAATTTAAAAACGGCTTCACCACAACAGTAGCTGGAGCCGCTGCTGCCGCCGCGACGCGACGTCGACGTCGACTGTGCTGCACTTAAAATGCAGGCAGCATTGCATGGAAATGTCGATAACTCAGCAAAATGGTGGCAAGACAAACAACTGGTATTAAGAAATGGAAATTCAGAAACAAAAGAAAAAAAGAAGAAAAACAATCCGAAAAGCCGCAAGCTGAAAGACAAAACAGAAAAATAAACAAAATGGCAAGCGGCAATTGTGGGGACAGGTTTCTAAGTAAGCGGCAGGGCAGGTTTTTTTGCGCCGCCCCATCAAAAAGGGCAGCAAACGGAAACAAAACTTATAAGCTAACCACAACATATATACACTCATAAAATAATAGGTCATTTTTATTTTGGATCAACAAAGATAACATTGTTTGCAAAAAATATTTACAAAAGGTTTTAGTCTCTATCTTTCAAAAGGAAAAACAGAAACGTTTCTTGAAATATTAAAAACAAGTTAAATTTTAACAAACAAAAAACACGACTTCGGACTTAAGACAGTAAATGTTTTTGTTGTTGTTGAAAGTGACAGAATGATTCGAGGATGATTCTGAAGTAAGAGAATCCTGCGCAGGAACAGAATTTTCAGCTATTTGGACTAAATGAAGTATGTCTAAGGTAGTATTCTTATGGATGCCATTGTCAGAACAGAACTAAATGGAAATGGGGCCATTCGGGAAGCACCAGCTTTCAAATAGCAAATGAATCATCAAAATCGGCTAACTCAGTCGAAAGTTATCAAACATAAAAAACAAATACAGAGAATTGATAACATCATTTTTTGAAGTCGGTTAATAACTAAAAACTGTACTTAAATTATTGCTATTCAGCTTCTAGCGTTCAGCCAAAGGAATAGCTGGCATTGGCATGATTAGGTTAGGACCACCCACTAAGACTTTAAAGGCGCATCGGACATTTTACTTGTATTTGTATGGGCCCGCTTTCAGCTACCCGATATTACAGATACATGTGACTATTTTCACGATCTCGATATCTCCGAGAAGTTGTTTAGAAAGGAATATCCTCGTCCAAAGAGCCCTTGCCTGGTCAGATATATTCTTTGTTTGCTGCACCCTAGAAACACTCTAGAAGTGGATATAGAAATGTCCGCCTGTCCATCTGTATTGAGAAGTTTAGAACTATTAGCTAGAATCGAGGAACTTGGTATGCAGACTTGTCCGACTCATACGCAGAGCA